AAGAAGAAGAATTGATTATTTAATAATTTTTGCATCAAAACATAAAGATGTGAAATTATGACTCTTGTGTGAATCACTGAGACATAAATGTTGTTCTGTTTAAATCATTCTGGATCACATGGACCAATCACGCATTCTCTAATCCAACACATACACTTTTACGGCCTACTTTGGTAAACCAATATTAGACAACATAGATGATTATGATATAAACATACATGGAGACAACGGATCCCTTAGTAAAATTAAAACTGGGATTGTGTACTGCTATATTCTTAGGGCTATACCTATGCTATTCTTTTTGAAGTCTTGTTTTTTCTTAAGCCATATATTTGTATTACAGTTATTAGTCAAACTTGTCACCTAGTAACAATAATAGCACCGAATGAAGCTAATTAGCATCTCATGATCTACACGTGTACAATATAGAGCACTCGCTACAAATACTGGACTTATCTAATCACTGGATATCCACTAGAACAAGCTTACATAATTTATGCTTTAAGCCTACTCCTTCATCATTCAGATATATATAAGATTAGACTCATACCTATTTGGACAGATATGTTAGACTTTCGCACCTATAGACATCGGAAGAATAATTGATATATGACGTACGACAGAAGACTCGGCTAAATAAGATCAACACTGAATAATAAATACACAGTGCGTTTCACTCGTCTTATGATGTTAAGACCCTATTTGACTCAAATTTCACCACTCACAGCAGTATTATGTATTCACGTAACAACTCCCCTATAACCGTATATCAATAACTCTCTAGATGCTCTGAGCAGTGCTTTTGTCTTTGTCTCTGCACGAAATGTCCTCACCTCTCATCTACGAATTAACTATCACTGTAATTAGATACGCAAAGGTTTAAAATGCTAGTACTAAAGCAATCTGTTAAATAATCAATATACAGAGAAGAACATACAGATAAATATTTTCTTTACTACCCAAGATGTAAACCAATATTTATATAACACATGTCTAGCATGTGGACTATTACATTCTATAAAAAAAGCATCATTACAAGCAATAGATGAGATCACTATAGTAGCCAACAATAAATTTCATGCAGGCGAATATATGTGTTCTTCACCATATAACAAACAAAGCAAACGGTAATTCATGCAGTTTGGTTGTAGAATTAGATTTTATGATTTGACACACCAGCTATGGTCATTTCTGACCTAAGACATCGTGTCATGCCATACATATATATAACTCAAAATGGCAGACCTCCTACTTTAACTCAGCATGACACATTCTTGAGCTATCACCTAAACAGGTAATTTATCTCTTCTGTGCATACTTTTCTTCGCTGAACTCCACTAAATGTACAAAATGTCCTCAGCACTTTAATTTCATATGATATACGTATCTGTACTCCTTGAATAAAGTCTCATTAGTTATAATATAAGATGTTAAAACCTATTCAGTATATGTCAGCGTATCGTTCTCGGTCAACTTCTACCTCGCCTCTCTGTGTGTAATCCAGTTCTGCGCTTCTTCTTGTCTTCTCATGTCTCTGTTTACTCTTTATCACTATCTTCTCCGCACCATCACGGCTAAGTGGGCCAATACCTACGCATGAACCTCAACCAACACCATATCTGCAATAATCCAGTCACAAACTCCTAGTATCATTGCTTCTCTGTCAGATCTACACGACCTGTCCATGAGATAGAGAGAATATCGATATGTAGATTCTTGTGTCTTACGCACGTTTACTTGTGCATGTGTGGCATTAGCGTACATAATATTGTGCCACCCTGGCTTTGCTCTCATATATACTGTTTCATCCATCTCTCTTCCTCATCATCCAATGATACGATAGAGCCATATCGCACTACAACAGAATATAAGCTATCATTCTCCTTACTACCTCCTTCCTCATCCTCGTTGTATAGAATGACTTGTATGTGTTGTTTCAAGCTTTAGTGTAATTTAAATTGACACAGTTGCTGTGGAGATCCGAGGATAGTTTCCCAAGAACGAAATGCTGAGAACTTTACAAAGTTTTACAGCGACTGCAAGGGAGAGAGAGAATGGGAAGACAAGAAGTGAAAATGAGAGCATGCACTGGGTTTGATGAAGGAAGAGGAGAGATGGAAGTAAAGATGAACACCAGAGAGTACAAAGAAGAACACGAGAAGGTCAGCGAGATACTGAAGATACTGACAGCAGAGCCTGTGAGACTGAACAGAAACATGTCAGAGCAAATGAGTTGTGTGTGTGTGTGCGGCATGTCAGAGAGAGAGAGAGGGAGAGAATGAGAGAGGGAGAGAGAGAAGAGAGAAAGGATCTCTCTCCCTCTCTCATTCTCTCCCTCTCTCTCTCTCTGACATGCGCACACACACACACACTCATTTGCTCTGACATGTTTCTGTCAGTCTCACAGGCTCTGTGTCAGTATCTCAGTATCTCGCTGACTTCTCGTGTTCTTCTTTGTACTCTCTGGTGTTTCATCTTTACTTCCATCTCTCCTCTTCCTCATCAAACCCAGTGCATGCTCTCATTTTCACTTCTTGTCTCCCATTCTCTCTCTCCCTTGCAGTCGCTGTAAAACTTTGTAAAGTTCTCAGCATTTCGTTCTTTGGGGAAACTATCCTCGGAGCTCACAGCAACTGTGTCAATTAAATTACACTAAAGCTTGCAACACACGCATACACACACAACGATGTAAAGTGAAGCTTTGTCTTTTATGCATGCTCACATCAGAGAATGAACACAGTATAAGCAAGCCAGTGAGCACATATGTCGACTAATGCGCACACATGCACATACAGTCATAACACAAATCACATACATATTCTCTCACTCATACAAACTGAATCAGAGAAGCAAACTAGAGTTTGTGACTGGATTATCAAATATTCAGCGAGGTTTGGCCCACTTAGCCGTGATGTGCAATATAGAAAACTAACAAGGAGACATGAGAACAAAAGACGCAAAACTGGTTACACACAGAGAGAGCCGGTAAAGTTACCCAGCTACCATAACATATCTGATGTTGTACATCTTAAGAAACTAAGTACTTTTCAAGGGCAGAACATTTCAATAAAAAGAGACATTTGTCATTTAGTGGGACACAAGAAAAGACACAAAAATAAATTACCTTTTTACTCAATTCACCATGAATAAGGCTGCCATTTGTTATAAATGACAAGACACGTCTTGGTAAAAAGGACCATTAGCTGGGGTAAACAAAAACATTCTTACACCAAACTGCAGGAAACGTTCTGCTGTTTTAGGTAACCTTTCTCCCTGCATGAAATTATTTTGGCACAGTGATCTCATTTTGCTGTAAGAATGCTGTTTTTTTATGAAGCTAAAGCCACATGCGGACAGGATTAACATTACATGGGGAGGAAGGGAATATTTACTGCTACTCTGTAATTTAATTCATTGCTCTGTACAGCATTTTAACCATTGCGAAATTACAGGATATGGTCAGTAATAGACATTCTGCAGGACAAAGACAAAAGCCTGCCCAGGAGCACAGGAGAGATGAAGGGGAGGTGAACATACTGCGTGAGGTGAATTTGAGTCAAAATCTTAACACAAAGACATGAAACGCACAGTGATATTATTCAGTGTGACTTACATTTTCTAAGCATATCATTATCTCCAATGTCAATGCAATGCAATATCATGTCCATAAATCTACTAAAATCTAAATCATAAAAAGCTTAAAGCATAAATAAAGCTTTCTTTGGTATCCAAGTAATCCAGTGGTTTTTACATCCATAGGTACACTGCAGACAGGAGATGCTAATAGCTCATTCGGCATATTGTTACTGGTGCAAGTTTGCTAAACTGTAAACAAATATTGGCTAAAAAACACAAGCTTCAAAAGAAGATAGCAGTACCTAGATTACAGTACAACAACCCATTTAATTTTACGGGGGCCTTGCTCTCCTGATGGATTTAATCATCTGTTGTCATATTGGTTCCCAAAGTAGGCCTATAAGTTGGTGTTAGCATGCTTCCATCTGTCCAATTAACAAAAACATTTTTCCATTTTCACACAAGAGTCAAATTTCACACTGAGTTGATCAAAAATTAAATAAAGTAGAAAAACGAGCAGCTCTTCCCACGGAGAAAAAGAAAACCCTTTAGCAGCCAGTTCACAGAAAGGCAGTAGGTAATTGTGGCTGTAATTATTACTGAGGTTGGGGTGACAAATTACCCACATACACGGTCCGGACAGGATTAAAATCACTTACCAACACAGGTAATGTTAAAATCACCCAACCAGAAATAAATCCAGTCCGAAAACAACGTTGGAGTTGGAAGTTGGGAAAGCATTTTTCTTGATAAATCCCTTGAGAAAATGCAGTCCCAAAGATCTTCCAGCAAACTTAATAATATATATATTGAAAATATATCAATAGATGGATGTCAAGGATATAAACAAGGTTACCGTTTGCACTTCATTAAGACCGACACAGGAATATCCTAAACTTTGACTCTTTGTAATTGATTAAAAATACGGAACAAAATGCACTATGTCACTTCTATAATAGCCTTAGGTTATAATATTTATGAAATGTATGGGGTCATTTGTGTGTGTGGTGTGTGTGCAGAGATCTCGTTCCGGGTGTGGCAGTGTGGCGGCAGTCTGGAGATCCTGCCCTGCAGCAGAGTTGGTCACGTCTTCAGGAAGAAACATCCATACATCTTCCCTGAGGGTAACGCCAACACATACATCAAGTAAGCCCCTGAATAGTTTTTGACTGATGTTAATGTCAAAATTTCCATTTTAGGTGGAAGTTTTTATGTACGAAGACTGACTCTGATATCTGTTTGAGGTGCCAGAAGGCGATTTCTTTCAATTTAAGGCTCACAAAAAGGTCAAAACTCCGGGAATACTTGTAGTGTCAAAGCTTGCAGCCTTCATCAGAGCTTTGTGGCCTCTGTGATCTTCATACACCGATCAAACATAACATTATGAGCATAGATATACATAATAAAGGCTAGATGTCATACGGCGGGGTCGCTAACGTCATCACCAGCGGCCATCTTGTCACAGGCAAGGCACTCTGTGGTATCTGATGTAAGGTGAGTGATTTGCACAAACACAAATACTCTTATCTCGCTGAAATCTTGATGGATTTTTTAAATAATGTTTCTTACAAACATTATTAACGTGGTATTATATTTTTTATTGATTTTTATTTGGTTTTTTTTTTTTGACTTATTATTGGTTTATTATTGATATATGGGGTATTCAGTAAGGTGATGCATCATATACTAAGCATCTCTGACGGTTGTGATAACTAAACCACAACCGTTTGCAAAATCGGTTAGAAAAGTTGAGCAAGTTGATGGTCATATTTAAAAATTTCATGCACCATTGAAAGCAACACAAGATGCTTATGGAGTGAGCGAGCTGACTGTGGGAAATTTTTGATGCGCCAGGGTGCGGATGCAACCTCCATTCTTGGCAGCACGGCGTACGAGACATCTAGGCCTTTCATTATGTATTATCTATGGATTATGGGAGGCACGCTGGGCACCTCATATATGTTATGCAGCCCCACACACAGGGTGTGATGCACTGTCCTGTGTGGCACCGTTTCTATCAGATACGAGCATGACTTTTTCGGGTTTTGAGCTACAGTAGCTTGTCTGTTGTCTTGGACCACACGGCAGCCCACTCCCCATGTGATCAGGGAGCGCTGCTGGTGTCCGATGACCCTGTCTCTGGTTCACAAGCTTCGGTTCTTCCTTGGATCACTTCTTGAGAGAGTAGGACCTACTGCAGACCAGGACACCCAACAAGAGCTGCAGGTTTGGAGATGCCTCTGACGCCGTCGTCTTAGCCATCACAATGTGCCCTTTGTCAATAGCGGCCAAATGTCTCACACGCGCCCATTTTCCTGTCTTGCTTAGACACATCAACAGGACAAGATGTTCACTTGCCCTGATACTCAGATAATCAGTGTTATTCACTTTACCTGTCAGTGCTCATAATATTATGGCTGATCGGTGTACTACTGCTGGAGTTTGGACCCCTTCTAACTAGTTCCTCTTTCTCTTCCCTATTCCCTATTCCCTATCTTGGAAATAAATTAAGTTGTGCCAGAAATCTAAAAAGACTAAAAGCACTGTGCATGGTGGAATATATAGTCATTATGTATGCAGTGTCCATTCTTTTTAGTAATCTCATGGTTCCCATACTCACAATATTAACCTACATGCTGAATTCACTACCTAAATGAACTCTCGACTGACTTTAGTACCAAACTAATTACTTGTCTGACTTTTCTGTGAATCCTTTGGTGTGCACTTACACACGACCCACCTAACGAATAATCCCACTAAATTTCCTGCTGACTGATTCAATGTTTGACTGATGTAATACACAGGAAACAGACAGCATGCAGCGTTTGCACTCTGAGCTATGTGTCGCAGCCACCGAACACTGTTCACATCATTGTTAAAGTGGATTTACAGCTGCCTGGGAGCCTTTGAGCTGAGACTACAATATTATCCTATTAACATAAGCTGTATTCTGTTCTCTGCCCCTTTCAAACAGTTCAGACAGAAAGATGTTTACAGGCAGTCCAATAATCCATTAACAGGACTAATGTGCTCAGACTGCATGTGAATTGATCTTGTATAAATAGATTAATCAAGGCTACAATAAGGATGCTGGTCCAATTCAGATTACAAAATCGAGGGCACTTTCAACATTACTGGTGTGAGTGAGTTTAACGAAAACAAAATTGCAGCGTTTCATCACAAAATAACTTCTGGGATCCACATGCTGTGGATTTATTTGGCTGATTATTCCTTTAACAGTTCAGTAACTCATAAACCTCAGCGTGTGAGCAAGGCATTAACACTGCCAGGGTTGGAAGTCGGGTTCCCTTTGTGGCTGAATGGGTGGAGCAAGGCACTAACGATGCCAGGTTGGAGGGCTTCAGTTCCCAAAAGGAGTGATCCCGCAGCTGAACAGCACTTTGGAGCAAAGCCTCCGCCAAACAGCTCATATAAAGTTATTGTTTTGTGTAAACCAGCGAATCCACACCAACACTGAGACTTTTTTTTTTTTTCAGTCTCGCTGTTTAGACTCTCATTTCGCTCCCTGTTGGCTGTTACCGAGGCAACATCTGTTCAGCGCGGAAGATGATGACTTTTATTCGTATCACGATGGCCTGATGTTTGTGATCAACACAGATCTCCCAAACAAAGCTGCTGTTGTCTGCTCGTGTGTTGCTCTGCCGGTTAATTAGCTGGAGGCTCGGCGCTGGCAGTCTGGGTTATGAATATGCTAAATAAAAAGAGCTGCTTAATAATTCGATTACAAAGATTATGCTGTTTCCTTCTTCATCGAGGCCTGCTGCTGTGACCTTGTGTGTGTGTGTGTGTGTGTGTGTGCATGTGATTTTTTAATTGTAAGCCTGTGCGTGACACGTATTTATGTTTATACGCCTACAAGCATCTCATATCCTCTCTCTCTTCCCCTTTCATTAAACCGCCACAGCCAGTGTGTATAATGCCTGTAATGGAGGGTTTCTGTCATTTCAATGAGATAGTTCACAGCTCAGAGAAACTCAGCTAATAGCTAATTACTTCAGAGAGAGAAAAAGAGAATGAGAAAAAAAAAGGAGTAAATTGGGACGAGAGATAGAGAAAATGTGCTTCACTGTTGCAGCGTGGGTGAATAAAGCGCACTGAGTTGAACAGAACTGAATTGAATGAGGGATACAGCAGTAGGCAGGATTAACACCTGGTAAACATGGTTGTGTATCTGGATATCTTATCTGGGTATGGAAAAAGTGTGTTGCTGTAATGTGAGGTGTAAATGACTGCAGCGCAACCAGAATGTCACCTGGGGGATGGTCTGACTCGCGTTGCAGCCCAATTTACACCAGGTATTACCATGCAATCTAGATCTGGATATCCTATCTGGACAAGGAAAAGCGCAACAGTACTGTGTGTTTAAAGGCAGCAGGTGAACACTGGAAGCCTCCCCTCCTCCTTCCTGCAGCCTCTCCTCCATTTCACCACGGTTAAAATATCAGCTGGGTCCACACTGTTGATTAGATGTGAGGGCAGACCTTACTCATATCGCATCCTCTCACTCATATTCAGGGAGTGTTGCATATATCATTTATTTTCTCATTTAAATATCCTCCCCAAACATCTGGGTCACAGGCGTTGGGAAGCTGTATTTGTGATGAAGCTGTCATTTTTGCACTGCATTGAGACCTGATTAAAGAATTACCTTCAAACACACACAAAAAAACCTATTCTTATTGTATTTCTTCCATTAGATTAGATTAGTAAATGTTACAAACTGGACCTTAATAAACATAACAATTATAAGATAAGTAATACATTCAAATGAACACAGACTATAGTTCCATTCATTTTGGGTCAAGGTTACATTATTGTTATTTGGAAGTTGCAAGCAGAGGCTGCTTTTGAAAACTGCCATTGTTGGTGCATTCAAAGAAGGTTTGACATCAGAGATTTCACTTGCCAAAGGATTCGTAACATTGTCACATGGAATAAATGTAACAAAAATGTCACTTCAAGGAGAATCAGGAAAAGCATGTTGGCTTATTCTTTGTCTTACTAATGTAATTTTTTTTAACCAATGTCTTAGCCTTCAGGGAGTTTTGGCCCAGGTATAAGGTAAAGCAAATATCACAGGAAGTTAGATTGTGAGATGCCATGGTCTTGTGTGTGTGTTTGATTACAGGAACACACGTCGCACAGCTGAGGTGTGGATGGACGACTTCCGTCTCTTTTACTACTCTGCTCGCCCTGCAGCACGAGGGAAATCCTACGGAGAGTAAGAACACACGCACACTTGATATTCAAACTATTGAATAATCTGTCTCTAGGCCTCTGAATTGTTGCCCATATTCTACACTCAGCTATTCAAACTGATGTTGTGAGCTTGTTGATGGTTGTTCATCTAGTTGGAAAAACAACAGAGCCAATCCAAGCTTTGTAGGTAGGATAAGGGAATGGCAATGTCACTGAAGCTGTTATATTACTCTCTTCAAAGCCACCACACTTCTTTGACAACAACAGTAATTTTACCTTGAACACAGGCACTGCTGGTCTACCACTTTGTAGTAGCCCTTTTTAATGATTTTCTGCAGTGCCCACAACAAATTATCACAACCAGAGATACTACAAGGACTAACTGTGAACTATAGCCATAATACAATCCATGGACATTCAACTTCACCTTAAAGAATAACTGAACACCCCCTGCAAGTCTTGTCTCTGCTGACTTCCAATAGTTGAAGTGCAGTGATGTACAGGTGTTATGGTGTACATCACTGTTGGGTGTGGTCAGAGTTGAAACCCACTTAAAACTTAAAATCACAGTGAAACACAGCTCTTCAGTAAAAGTATGTAAATAAATATCCTAAAATTGGAAGCGAGTCTTCACAATGTGATTTAATTCAAGACCGCAAAAACAGCAGGAGCAGACTTTAAAGCCCACAGCTGTGCTTAAATGTCAGTGTTTATCTGTCAGACACAGGTAAACACTCACATTTAAACACTGCTGTAGGGTTTTACCTTCCTCTATCACACATCACACACTTATTATTTATTAGTTTTTCATTATCTCATGTCTTTGGATATTTTATGACTTATTCTTCTGGTCTGAGTGTTGGTAGTGATTGACAGTTTATCTGGTTGCTTTTCTCTTTATCTGACTGTTTGTGTGTCTGTTTGTGTGTGTTACCAGTATCCAAGGCAGAGTGGACCTCCGCAAGAAGCTCAAGTGCAAATCCTTTAAGTGGTACTTGGACAATGTCTACCCAGAGCTCAAGTAAGAGAGAAAGAAAGAGAGAGTGTGTGTCTGTGAGAGAGAGAGAGTGTGAGAGTGTGTGTGTGTGTGAGAGTGAGTGTGTGTATGTCTTTAAAGGAAAGAAAACTTCTGCTGAGTACGCATCTTAAAGAGAGGAGAAATTTCAAGACTGACACCATTGATTTTTACTGTCTGGGGCGTTTTAAAAATATGATTATTTTGTTTGTTTGTTTTTATGATTAAAAGGGGAAGGCCACTGATTTTACCCATAATGCTGTCAGGATATCTCAGCCTTTTGCTGCTTTGATTTAGACTTTTCTGTGTTTTAATGGCTCTGTCCCCCAACATTAGTCCTTTCAACTTTCCCTGGGACCTCAAAAGAAAACTAGCTAAAATAAAAGATGCTAAGCAAAGATACAAGCTCTATAGAGGAGATCTTAGAGGTTTGATTCCAAATATGTGGTTCGCTTAATATACAGATCTTATGGTGCCATCAGAATGAATTTTGTCTGCAAAAATGTGTTCACATTTGGAGGCAAAAAGCACACAAGTAATACACAGGTAACTGTGTGGGCATGGTTGCAAGCATAAACTGCAGAAATTAGGATGATTAGCAGGCTAACAACCGAATTCTCCTAGTTGTAAATTATACAGCTTTTTATCAAACACTACACACCTGTGCAATGCTTTGTGTTGTCTGTTTAAATGTTTAAACCTGTCAACAGTGTCCACAGTAGTGTACACCCACTTCACAAACACACAGCCCATCTTTATGTCTTTTTGAACACCTCACTAGTGTAATTTTTCTGTTAAATCTCTCTCCGTTCTGATTGGCTGAGCTCCCAGGGACTCAGAGTGACTACCCTATCTGCACACACACTCACAGACACACAATAACACTTCACAAGCCCTGGCAGTGAGTCTTTCATATACATACAGTACACACATATACTACCTACACGTACACAAACATGCCAATACAAATACCTTTAAAGACACATAAGCACTCTCATTTAAAAGCTTCCTCTCTCTTTCACACTCACACTTCAACACACTCTCACACACATACACACACACTTAAATACCCATTTATCCACTGGAGGCTGTTGTTAATCCCCCAGAATGGAATTAACAGGCTTGCTCTCAAGGGAAGACAGACCTGACCCTTAAAACGCAGAATAACCTTTAACGGGTTATTAAAACAGAGAGAGATAGCAGATTGAATTAATGCTACAGGGCTTAAGCCCGAGTTTATAGCGCGGCCGAGAATTTAACAAGAAAGACTGAGAAAGTTTATCAAAGAGGAAGATTGGGAAGAAACTTTTCTGAAGTAATGAGTTTAGAGAATCGTGGCCTGCAGCAGATTTGTTAAAGGTGCAGAGCGTCATTTTTTTAAATCACTGTCAAAATAACTGATATCTTGATGTAGTTAATGAGACCATGGTTGAGATGATTGCGGTCTTCTGTCTCATCTCAATGAGGCTGATAATGTAGAAATTAAGACGTATATCCTCTACTTCCACAATAGGTAAATGTGGTTTTGGAGATTAAAGGGTCAGTTCACTTAAATTAACAAAAATATCATACTTTCTCAATTATCTCCAGTGATGTCTGGTGAGACATTTATAGTGATATTTGGGATTTGTAATATCTGCGTCTCCAATACAATCGACCCTTAAACTGAATGAAGTCTATCTTATGTTTCCTCCATCAGGGTCCCAGATGACTCTGACTCTCAGTCCGGGGTGATCAGACAGCGGCAAAACTGTCTGGAGTCTCGCAGGGTGGAGGGCCAGGAGCTGCCCATCCTCACACTGGGTCCCTGCATAGGAACAGAGGGGGTCCCCGCCATCAACCAGGTGGGTCAATCTGGAGTTATAAATGACAGAGTTTGTAACAGGAAATATTGTAGCTCAACATTCACAAAATTTTTAAGTAATCATAGCATTTTGTCCCATTTCCTTCAGTCCTAGTGTGTATTGGTGTGTGCAGCAGTGTGTTTTGGGTTTTGTTTGTTATATACTATTACTGGGATTTGTCAAAGTCTGAATTAAAATTTTACACACAGTGGCTTTGACAGACTAAATGGTAATTTAGTATAATATAGGATACATACAGAATCATGTAAAAGATATTGCTTTTTACCTGACTCTTCTACTGAGAAGCAGGATGTGTGAAAGTGTAGCGGGTTGAAAAAAAAACAGTTATTCTCCATTTAGATGGAAATATTGCTCACTTCACCTCTCTCTCTCTCTCTCTCTCTCTCTCTCTCTCTCTCACTCAGTGTCATTGATCATTAGTAGATGTAAACAAGCTTCCTGAAAGAGAGAGTCATCAAGCTAAAACATATTAATTTACATCAGAAGGTGTGTGTGTGTGTGTGTGTGTGTGTGTGGGAGATCTGGTTCTACATTGCTAATTTTTCATACGTGAGCTCAACACTACATAAGCAGGGCTTGTATGTGTGCGCATGTGTGTTTGGCCAGTTGTTTTTCTTTGTGTAAGCTATATATCTGACCTGACCTGGTCTCACTGTGCTAATTTTTTACTTGTAGCACAGCAACTCAGCAAAGAGCAAGTGTGTGGGCATAACTATCCAACAATGGACATCAGCGTTGTTACACATTCGCCAACATTGGACTGGTGACCCAACAGGGGACATATTGGAGGTCCACTTTAGGTCATGCTTTAAAATCATGCTAGAATTATGTCTAAAACCTTAAGGTGAATTTGTTTTAATTAGTGGACTACAGTTTGTCAGTGTTGAATAATAGTGTCTACTGTTGGAGTGTGTGTGTGTGTGTGTGTGTTTTAATTAATACCCGTAGGATTCTCATTATTCCGTGTTTAGACTGAGCGTGGAGGCTGTGTGTGTGTGCCGCTCTAACAAGCCACCTTGCAAAAGAGTGAACATGTCAGCAGTTGAAACGCCTGAAGGCTGCAGAGGCCAGCCTGTGACTGGAAGGTTGCTGGTTTGAATCCCTGAACTCAGAAGGAAAAACGCTGGTGTGTGTTTGTGCGTGTGTGAGTGAGATACTATCTCACCAACTACTGTTGGAAGCCGTGCACTGTACAGAAGCCCTGAAGGAAGGCTCTCAATCTCTGTTTGTTCATGTTCAGAGGTCTGGTTTGAACAGAGCAGTTCCCAGGTGGGAATGTTTTTCAACCTAAAGAATTAAACTAACGTATCTGTTCTGTCAGTTTCCCCCTTGAAAAGTGAAAAAAGTTTATTTCCTTGGTGTTAAATGTCATTCTAACATCTAATAAAAATAAGAAATCCACATTAAAGGAAAACAACCTTGGTGTCATATCAAGGTGTGATTATAATTACTAAGTTAATTGCTGAGAACAAAACTACAACAGAGTCTAACAGGGTGGCAACATGTGCTGTCAAGACAAGGAAATTAACAACATCACTCTTTTTTGTTTTTTCCTGACAAGGTGCTCCAGTGGCCAATCTAATAATCAATCAACAGCATGATCTTTTAATATCAAGGCAAAGCCATTTTGATATGTTTGTTTTGTGATTACACTAGATCAAAGTTAAGCCAGGAACCTAAGCTATGTTCATAAACAGAAATTAAAAACTAAATAAATTAAATTAAATGTTTGGGTTTTTATATCTTCCAGGCAAATTTGGTCAAGCTGTGTGATCATCTGACTGCTGTTCCTGTCATGTTGGACTCTGTTGGAGCTTCCTAATTGTTGATGAGTAAAATGTAACTAAATGTAACTAAATGGTAAAAATGTATTAGTTTCTTATTGATAATATTAAGACATTTCTTGCAGCTACAATAGAGTCCAATAGCAGACTGTGTAAGTGATCTGAAACACCCACAATGAACATAAATATTCTCGTTTCAGTCTCTCAGAAACAAACGGAAATGCCATTGCACCAGCATTCACATACAGGGAGAAATCAATAGTAGAAGCAGAGAGACCAATTTGTAGCAGAACACAGACCAGAATGTTTGTAATGTCAGTCATGCAGAAGTCAAATGTATTCTACTGTTCTATTAATGGGGAGTTTCACTTAACTTAAGGGTGACAGCTGTGTATAACAGAGCAGAAATATAAGCTGAAGAAGTAGGCGAATGACGGGCATGAAATGCGACCCACTGAGCCACAAAAACATCATTCTGAACACAATTTGGCCCAAATGTAATGAGTACAAAAGCATGACTGTTGGCTGTGAATGTGAGCGCTCAGTCAACTGTCTCAGAAAAAAAAAAGCTTGCATTTGCAGGTGTCAACGTTATTTTGAGCCAACGTGCACTTTGTTTTTACTCTTTATTTACCCAGGGAACACTTCTGCTGAGCACGCTGGCTCCGTTTCAGCACTGACCTGCTTAACGTTTAACTACACAATCATTGGGTATGTTTACCTGCAAACCAGTGACTCTGATTACACTTAGGGATCTGCTTAAAACACTGCCTCTATTTCTAATAGCCTTGTTTACATTATTTATTCCCTTAACATTTGGTCTGCCCCTCATCACTCCACATTTTGTTGTGTTGCTTGGTTTAGAAATTCGATACTGAAGCTCGGTGTGTCAGACCATAGGTGCAAGAGCTCCTTCTACAGACTGATTTCTGTCAAAAGTGAATTATTTGTTCCATCGTAGTTCATTTATTTTTACTGTTAATGCAAAAAAAGGTTTAACTTTTTAATTTTTTGGAGTAATTTTTCATGCCATCTGCTCAACCCAGCTCTCTTTGCCAATACATCCATCAATACTCCTGTTAAGAAAGCAGAAATCTGTGAACATGTAGAAAAGCGTTATTTGAATCTGCTCTGTCCGCAGTCTCATCCATCTCTGCTACACAAGCACAATGCGCTAATAGCAAATTGTTAAAAACAAACTAAAACAAAGCTGTCTGTACTTGTGTCACTTAGTTTGTCACATAACTTAAAACTTAAATTCTTGTAAACTTAGCTAAACATCACATCAGATAAATGGCTGATTTTAACGTCTGAGTTCTTCATTCTTTCTAAACCTCACTTGATTTGTTTCCAGTTAGATATTTATATAGTTTATATAATGACTGTTGTAAACATTACTGTTACTAGAAACAACATTTAGTTTTATTTAAAATATAAATAAATTCCAATCCTTCCTTCCAATCCAATTTTATTTTTAAATAATATAAAATTATTTAAAAAAAGCTATTATTTAGTAATGAAAAAGACAGGAAGCACAAACAGGATACAGATATGTTAAAAAAAATTACATATACGAACAGAAAAAATGTAATAAAGTTAGAAAGTCATACACAGTGCAAAACCATCGACAAGTATGTACAAACATAAATGTGCAAATCCAATAGGGCAATTCACTTATATAACTTAGCAAAGTGACAAAGTAAATATGTTTCAGTTTTGTATGTAATCATGTATATAAGAAATGCATTAGATGTATATGTATGTAAAAAAATAATTATAACAATAATAATGATACATTTTAAATAACGTATACAAATATGCATAAAATACATTAAAAAAGGAAACAGAATATGTTACCTAGACAGATTTAGAATTATAACAGAAACCAAACAAAGATATTCACATTAACACATATTTGAACATAACAAACTGATTGTGTTTCTCAAAATGTGTTCACATGACAACTTCAGGAGGATACTTCCTCACAAGTGAAGGTTTAAGACTGAATCTTCAGTGTGCAAGTAGACCTACCAGCTGAACCCAGGGAGGCTCCAGCAGAGAAGATATATTGAGCTACAGCACCAATTAACCTCCAATGTCATTCTCTTTGCTGCAGTTCAATAAATCAATCACACGGTGAAATAAACCCTGCAGCGTTGAGTTATTCAAGAAAAAACTCCATACATCATAGAGCTGCTTTAAAAAGACTTCCCACTCTCCCTTCCCCAACCACTTCTCACCCTCCAATGATACAGGAGTGTTATAATCATAATGACTTGTTAATATGTATTGATAAGTGCAGAAAACATTTTACTTCAGGATCAGGATCAGTGTGTAGGATGTAGTTTCATAAAGCAGTGTAGATGCTGATTGCAACGCCATCACCTAACCCTCCCATTCCAAGGGTGTTAGAGTAATGACTGTGGCAGCCAATGGTTGGTTTGTCCGTTCTGGGTTACTAGAAACTTGAACATTTAACATTGGGGACTCCATAAAAGATGACCCACTCCCACTGTAGATATAAATGACTCATTCTACGGAAACCGGAACACCACTATTCTTATTTCAGGTGATTATGGTATAATGAAAACATACCTAGGAATATTATATTAAATTATTGCCAATAGATCCTCCTAAATGTTACACACTGGACCTTTAGGTACAATGATTTAAAATGTACTTTATTATTATTTGGTTCATTAATCAAAAATCAAATAAATATAATCGTTATTGCTTATCTTGTAATAACATGGCAATAATTAAAATAGTTAACTCAGTTGTTGGTATTTATATTATTTAAACGTCTATTCAAATATGTGGCACCCATTTATGAAGAATTATCAGTGTGTGCACGTGTGTGTGTGTTCTAGATGTGTCAAGATGTGATTTACTTTGGTGTGACCTTTATACTGGCTGTCCCCTGAAGGTTTGGAAAACCCTTAAAACACACACACACAGACACACACACACTGGACATTACCATGACCTAATTACACATTGTGTATGTGTGTGTGTGTGTGTGTGTGTGTTTCTTTTGTTTTGTCTTTCTCCTACATAATCATTAATACATCAGGGTGTTGTTTTAACCTTGACCTCCTTAGTGTATGTGTGTGTGTGTTTGAATACACATTATAACAGATTTGAGTATTATAAGTACGCAAATGATTGTTTTTTTGTCGCTTTTTAGAAATGTGTTATAAGAACTTTTTTTTTAATAATGGACCATGGATATCACAGTATAATAACATAGAACATATTATGATGAGTGTGAGCTCTTCATCTTTGTCTGTCAGGGCTCTACAGTGTGAGCATTTCGTGAAAAAGTGCGAGTGACTCTTTAGTTCAGACTATAGGGAAGGCCCCTTAAACCTGGTTCTGGATTGGAGCAGGTTCTAAATTATTAAGAAGTCGCTTCTTTCATTGGTGCTTGAAGAAACCAGGACGTGAGATTAGCCAAGCAGAAAATATGATTTTGGTGTAATTTGTGATGCTGCATGCAGCCTCTCTTTTCTGCTCTCTGTGTCGGTGTTTCAGATCAACCTTTGGATCTGAATCAGGTATCTGTAGGTATTGGGTGTGCCAAAGTTATTTCTAATATAAAACCGTGTTTAATCAATGTTTATTATCCTCTACCACTATGTATATATTTATTTTACACCTGTGTCTTCTGCAAACTGCCGATTTAGTTGTATCCCTAAAAATAAATGTAAGAATAAAGTTGTGCTACCCATTGTGGTGTATTTATAGTCCTTCACTGAAAATTGTACCAAAGTTAAAGTAGCTGTAGTCAAATTAGGCAGACTGGCCTGCACAAAGCGCCCTCCTGCCCTTTAACACTTTTAGGATGAACCGTGGGTCAGGTCTTATCGTCTAACATCAGCGTCGGACCTCACTAATGCTCTTGTGGCTGAATGGGAGCAAATCCCTGCAGCCAGGTTCTAACATCTGATGGGAAGTGGAGGCTGTAAGCAGCAGATCAGTGCCTGTCGTTTCAGAATAAGAAGAGAGAAATAAGATCACATTGTGAGTGTAGTGTTCGATTAAGTTCATTTTTTTTCTTTATTTTTTAAAATTAACTAGCCAATACAGATGTCACATAATGTAGTGCTGTACACATATAGGAACACAAAATGGAAATACACAAGTAAAGTACCAATATAGTGAAATTAACCAAATGTCACTTTGCTATATTTTCTTGCTTTTCCCTGAATGACTTTATCTTTATGACGGCTTATCAGAAACCAAACAAAAGCTAAAGCAGCACTCGAAAATGTCAATTTTTAAAAACCCAGCTGACAAACAACATTTAAAACAAATGATAATAAATTTTTTTTCCTCTTTCTCTGTCTCTAGGAGTGGGTGTACACTCACGGGCAGCAGATCCGACAGCAGCAGACATGTTTCTCTGTACCACCACCTTTCACTGCCTCCCAGTCCTGCTTGTGGCCCTGCAACATGGCCGATGGCAAGCAAGGTCTGCCACAAACACACACACACACACACACGCGCATTTCAGGTGGTGTGTACCTGCAGGCGATTCCCTACCATGTATCATATGGCTGATTAATCTAAGTGTTAATTAATCTAAAGCTAAATTTGTCTAAAGATGATCGTTACACAGACACACATTCACGCTGCAGGGGAAAGCTTGACACTTTTTTGGAGGAAAGACGCTATCGAAATACTCTTAACACACACACACATCACCACACACACTGTCATTACCTGACCACTGGGCACCTGACGCGTCCCAGAAGCCCTGCAGCCAGAGAACAACCTGACAACCAATAAAACCTAGAGAGAGAGAGAGAGGAGAGAGAGAGAGGAGGGGCGAGAGAGAAGGAGAGGGATAGAGGAAGTAAGCAAGACAGACAAAAGAGGAGAAAGAGAGAAAGGGAGAGACGTGAGAGAGAAGATGGAAAGAGATGGAGGAGGGTAAGTCAAGGGAGAAAGAGAGAAGTAGCTGAAGATTAGCTCATTACACCTCACAACTGTTCAGTCTGCATGGAAAACTGTGTGTGTGTGTGCGTGTGTGTGTGTCGTGTTAATCCCATCTGTATCATTACAATGTAAAACAATGTACTGGACCTATGTGTAGCTGTAATCAGACTGTTTTTACGTGTTGTGGTTGTGTGTCTGCGCGTGTGTGTGTGATTCACTCTGTGTTCTGTCGTGCAGTTATTTTCGTACTTTTTGCAATCTATGAAGTCATCCTGTGACGGGTGTGCTGAGAAAGAGTGGAGAGGCCAAGAAAACAAAGAGATGGAGAGAGAAAGATAGAGTGAATCTTGAAGGAGGAAAAGAGAAGAGACAAAACAGGATAAGGAAAGTAAAGAAAGAGAAATAAGAGGAAAGGAGGGGGAGAACGGTTGGAAAAAATACAGACTAGGGAAATGAAAAGGATGAAGGAGGATGATGCGATAAAGAAGAGGAATAGAGGGATGAGAAAAGAGGGGAAGACAAGGAATTGGGGCAAAGATCTGTCTCGGAAAAAGAGATGAAGAAGGACGAGAACGAAATTAAAACTAGGAAAGTGATTATTAGAGAAAAGGGAAGGAGAGGTAAAGGAACACTGGAGGAAAATAAAGAAGGTCAAAAGCAGGCGGCAGGAGTAGTGCGTCATATACGCCGTCATTTCGCCCCCCTTTCCAGGGGGCCCCCACAAAGCAAAACACAGCAGCACGTCAAGAGCACCACAAAGCAAAGAAGAAAGAATATTACATCAAACAGTGAACCTCTGAGATTTATTCTTTGTGTGTGTTATTGACTTTGATTTCTCACCTGAACAGCCGTCCTTCCTGCCTCAGGCATTACAATAGGTGAGACTGCGTCCGACATGTCCGTATTTTTATACTCCAGAATAAGTTCCCCCTGTGGCAGCAATAACACCATAGAAGAAGATGTTGCGTATCGCAACACAAGATCACAGAGTGGAGGTACAGTAGACAGCGTTAGGGAATGAAAAAATGCTGTTTTACTGGAGCGTCATCCGGCATCAATTGCTGAAAATTAGGACAGGCGGTGAATTCTGTCCCCCACACGAAAGAAAGAAAGAAAGAAAGAAAGAAAAGAGAGGAAGTAGGAAAAAAGGAAGGAATTAGGGAAAGAAAAAATACGGGTAAGAAGGGAGGATCGAAAGAAAAGAAAAAGGAAAAAGGAAGGAAGGAAGGAAGGAAGAAAAGGATAAAAAAGCCAATAATAAAATGTTGGGGAGAGACAATGCGGAAAAAAAAGGAAAGAGGCAGGAAGACTGAGGTGGTGACGAGTAAATGAGAGACACTCTGTGCAACAGCTCACATACACACAAGGTGTTATATGCCGGGTACTAGATTCAGTTCGGGCCGTTTTTATATCAGATACTAGACTGTTAAATTAACTTGTTGACTAAAAAACTGGTGGTTACACAACACACGCCACACTTCTCTCTCACACAACCACAACAACAGTCAACACACACACACACCACACAACATTCTCTCTCTCTCTCTCTCTCACACACACACACACCAAATATCTACCACACACCAGTGCCTGTGTATTTTTTTTTGTGTTTGTATTTAGCCATGAAGCGCATCGCTGGTCATGTAACTGAAAACTTAGTAAACATTTACCAACACACACACACATCACACAGAGCTGATGTTTACATGTCCCAGTAGAGGGTGTGGTAGGTATGTGTGTGTGTGGTGTGGTGTGTGTGGTGTGTGTGTGTGCTGTGTGTCAGAAGGCAGGAAAAACAGCGGCATGATAGGTAATTAGACCAAATATCCACTCGACGAAACAAGCCCAGATCTGACTGTAGAAGGACATTGACACAGACTGCTGAGGGAGAGAGGAGGAGAGAGAGAGAAGACACTAGGGTAGTTAAATTTGAAGGATGGACGAGAGAGAAGAGAGGAGAGAGAGATGGGTATGGTGTTTTGACATAGAGACACAAGGAAACGGGACTGCCGGCCACGCTTTGTTTTGTTTTTTCTGAGGACTACTACGGCGGGGGTGTTGGGAGGGCAGAGTCGAGAGGGAGGGACTAATAGAGAAAGAAGTAACAGAAAAGGGAAAAATAGATTTTTCAACATGGTTGGAAATAAATTCTAAAAATTAAAAATATGATGCAGTCCAAATAATTGAATATAGCCGATGAGAACACAACCATATCCACTCATATGATTAATTCAAAAGTAGCCTAACATATATTCCTCTTACATATACTTAAAGGGTTCTACATATGAAATTCACTGCCCTGTAGATGTGCACCTAGAGCCAGCATGTCAGCCCAAAACAGCTGTTACGGCCCGCCAGACTCATTGATGAAACTCACCCTCGCGGCATTAATCGTAAAATACACCTCGGATCTAGGATAGTACAAAAAAGATCAGATGTGTCTACGATCCTTGAGAGAAATGCAACCTGTCCAAAGTCAACTGTCCACATTCCCTTATTGCAAAAACAGTCGTCATTTATCGTTCATCACTGAAAACTTTCATCAAAGTGGAGAGAAACTAAATAAAACTCACCAAAAACCGTTTGTTGTCTTTCCATTGTTCAACAACCGCCAACTCTGGTTTGGTCAAGAAATAATCCTCAAATCTGCTGATGGAGATGAGGAAGAACTTAAAGCTTAACAGTTACACACGGAGGACTCGCATGCACTTGCGGGTGTCCCGGCTGTATGGATCGTCTTTAGTGAACACGTTTGAGGGAAGACCTCTGGAGCATCTGGATGATTCAGTTGCCTGTGCAGCGGGGAGAAAGGAGCTGTGTAATGCTAATGCTACATGGTAGGTGAGCAGGAGCGAGACAAAGGAGAGCTGTTCAATAAGAGTTTGATAAAATGGATAAATGGGATCACCTGAGGGAGAGGGGGTTGTCTGTCTGTAAACAGACAGAGCCTTTTTCCAAATAGGGTGAGAATGACACCATGTAACCACGGTAACTGTACAAACACAAAGATGAAAGATTAGATGTAGGCCCAAAAGTCTAGAATAAGACATAAATATAAAAAAATGCACAAAAATTAGACTAAAATTAAATTGACGAAAAGTAGCACAAATCAGAGGTTACTAAACTTTGATAAAACTTAATATATAGCAAAAGACTGAATAATAAATCAGAAATCAGGTGCAAAAGATAACTTGATATTGAAACAGTTTGACTCCAGCCACAAACTGCAATCATAGATTATCAGAGCTGTGGGGTTGAGAAGTGTTTCGTCACGTTACTGAAGATTCAGGAGGATGTGCACTTAACAAGTCAATTCATCAGAATGTATTAATTACTTTACACAAAGAGTATAACGATCGGCTATCCTCTTAAGCAAAACAAGAATGAAATATATATATATCCAATATTGTGTGTGTCAAGATGTCTTATCAGTTTCAGGTCTATCTGTGTTCACCCTGTGTGACCTGGCCTATGCATCCTGGGAGGAGGCTCCTGTCTTCCCCTCTGTCCCTCTCCTCTCTCGTATGCAACAGACGTCTTAAGAAAGTTAATGTAGTACATGTATTTAAAAGAGGGATGTGTGCGGAGGGTAATGTACCAATGTATTATTCTCACAGTCCGACATCACAGTGCTGCAGCAGATCCCGAAATATTCCAAACAGTCCAATGAGTGAATACTAATTGATTTACATTTCATAATTAT